TTTCATACTGTATTCAAATCAATCCAAGTATCGAAACATTAGACTTTCTGTGCATTTAATTTGTCATATTTTTGATTTATTATCTTTGATTTAGCAAATAGTTTCGGTTGGATAGATGAAACTGAACTTATTTGTTTTAGGTAAATATCTACAACTGCCTAGCACTTTCTAATAGTCCTCTCTTTTTCTACATTTTTTTTAATCAGTAACTATGGAATTTTATCTAGACTTACTCTTTTTTCTATTGACTATTTTTCTTCCATAGTCAACGCTGTTTGGAGATGTAAGGGTCTAGATGTGACGAGATTGTGTGTGAATAAGAGTGTGGGATATGAACATGAGAGTTAGCACGTAGAGATGCTAAATTACCATTTGTTTTATTAGTATTACTTGGTACTTGATAATACTTATTATAAATTTTTATCATCATTAGCTTGGTTTCTGTTATTTTAATGATTTCAGAGGTCTAATAAATTCGTATTAGTGAAATAGAAAGTAATGTCTTATTACCAATGAATTTTATTAGTGTCAAATTTTTATTATTTATTACCAGTTGAAACAAAGGATAGGTGAGATATTCGTACACAAATGTTATTTATTAATAATTAATATATTTTGTGGCAGATTTTTTCAAAAATGTTGAATGCATAGAAAAAAATGTACCAGAGAATTTATCCTATTGTAACTACTCGATCTTTACTCATACTCTTCTTTAAAACTTAAATAAAGATGTTCGCTATCATTTATTAATCTTCATTATATAATGGTACTACAAGATATTGATGTAATGGAAAAGTTAAGCCATATTTATTAGATAAGGTCATTCTTTTTTTATTAAATAGTATGAAATTAGTTTTGGATATGTATGTCGTGCAATTTTTTTTCTCTAATACACGTGTGCAAGATTGTATTTTTATTCGGTTTGTTTTATTCAAAAAAATAAATCGAAACAAACTTTAGATGTTTATTTAAGAGGAGAATAAATTGAATTTGTTTGAGTGAGCTAATAAAAAAAAAAGAATACATACTTGTTCGCACAAAACAATCCTTTTCTGTCAACAAAAGTATATTACTATATATAGAACAGATGAATCACAGCATCGATTCCTTTCTATTTGATGATTCAGAATATAGAAGAGATTAATATCTTTTCAAAGTTTGAAAAAATGATACCATTATGCAGATGTTTGGTCTAACATTATTAATAGCAGAAATTGTGTAATGTAACACAAACAGAGCCCACTACATTTTCAGTTTACATTGAAAAGACTCCGTTCGGCGAGTAACTTAGTATTCAAGACTATGAACAAGTATTGTTTCAAACATTCCTGATCATGCATTTTTGTAATTATTACTCATGATTGTGAACTAGTAATTCAAGTGATTTCTTTGATTATTTATCACTTCATTACTAGTTATTTTCTTATATTCTATTTTTTCCATTATATTTGAAAAATTATCAATAATAGTAATAAATTTAACAGTTTTAGTTACTAATAGAATATTAAAATAGCATTCCTATTGATGAATCTAGCTAGGCAGAATTCCCATTTTGACTTTGTTCAAGAGTCGTATTCGATAGGTTTCACTTCTTTTAGGATTAAAATCGACATGAAGATCGTCGTAAAATCAATGGGTTATGTATCTTGCCTCTGATCTTTGAATCGTTCACAACAGATAAAAAATAAAAGTAAAAAGAATAGGCCTTTGATACAGACCGAAATCCGAATCATGACTAGCCAAACTCATCCACTGTCCTTTTCACAACTTCTTTTGAATTCAAGAATAAGTGTTCGGATGGGAGGACACATTGAAAATATATTATAAAAAAAAGAATTTTGACATCTACGGAAATTTTTTTTTAAACAATGATTCCCCTATTACCGATAGAAATTGTTTGTTTTTTGAATGAACTATTTTATGAAACTTTCATAAAATAAAAGACAGCTTTTTTATGAAGATAAAAACCCGAAGAACCATCTAATAAAACAATAATGTGCTTTCAGAAAGTTTGGTTCATAATGTTGTCTGAAAAGATGTGAGCATAAAAGGCATAAACTCCTTTTCGAGATCCGAGACGATATCCTTTTACCTAACCGTGGAGTATACTTATAGTCATATATTAAAACATCTTACATAGGTTTTATTCAGCGATATTCTTGAAGGAGCAGCTGTTGGAACTCTATTGGTTCTATCATCGTAGCAGGTTGTTGTGGAAGGTGGATTTGGAGCGAACCAATTAATGTCCTACTTAGTGTAAGAAAGCCTAAAAAACTACGAAATCTCGTTAATAAAATACTTACATTTATTTCATTGTTCTTGCTCGAAGTTTTCAGTTCTTGATTCTTTGCTAAACGAGCAGTAGCTTTCTATCAAAAAATATTTCGATCAACAAATAATATACAGTGAGCCTGATTGATAGCATTACCGTTTCGATTACAGACAGGCCTTCTAAATTAATGTTTGGTACATCATTGTTTATCGTTGATTCATTCGGTCGTATTTTAAATGAAGTAATGGATTTTGACCAGTCTTCCATGACCACTCTATTTATACACGTTGTCTGAAACAAGATTGTTCATGAGTGATGAAGAAGTAGTTGGAAAAGAATGAACTATTCCCCTATCATCCTATCTTACAGATCATAAAAGATAGATCGATAGCATGGTTTTCAATATCTGTCACAGACTATGAAAGAGGCAGTGAAAACCTTTATCTGCTCACCAAATGGCTTCATCATGACTCACATATAAATTTTGTAAATATTGCATAGAATGCTTTTTACTTTAATATTACGTTATAATTCAGTCCGTTTTGTTTATGATTCTTTCGATCTGATATTTGTCAATTTTTTTGATTTTGATCAACTTCCTCTCGTAAGCTCTCTAATCCACTTTATCCTGCATTAGTGACCGAATAGAAACCATTTCAAAACAACAGACAACCATGAGCGGACCTTTCTTTGGGTGAATTTTAACTTAGTATCATATTGCTTGTGTCACAGCTATAGTTATTTACATGTCACATAAATGGAATCCCGCGTAAATGCTAAACCGTTAATGACAAGATATAACCAGTCGTAGATGTCACTGTTATTAGTGATCAACCAATTATTTTATTCAATGATTTATGCTGATTTTGACTTTTTTTCTATACTTTAAGACGTTTCAGATAAAACGAAAGGAAATGAATGTGGTAGGTAGTACAATTGGTACAATTTGAGAATTAGAATAAACTCTTTCCATCTTTTCTCCCATGTGCTTGTCGATGATTAGAAAAGCAATCAGTTCCACTATCTAAATATAAAATAGTTTTCGCCAAAAAATTATTCCTGCTACTAATTCAATCATCTCTATGATCAGAACTACACGAGTCATATGAGGTGTATTGAGAACTGAAGAAACTACTGTTATATTTCAATCGAATATAAAATATTCAACAAAGCTGCATCAATATATGAATGGTGTATGCATGATTTAAAGTAGTTTTGCCAACGATGCCTATCAACTTCATATAGACATATCATCGAATAGCTAGCTTCTATACCCTGTTCTTTATTACTCGAATGGACTCTAGAGCCATTTTTTCTACATAGGAAGTCTCCTCTCTAAATCATAAAAAATGCACAAATCATTGACCTTAAGATACTTTGTCGACAATATATACCATTGCTATAATCAGCATAGTTATACGATCATATATTCCTGACTTGTATGGAATATCATGATATTATAGACATGTTTTGTCTATACATAAACTTACCTTTCCTTACTTTTTTCGGTTCAAATTACAAACGCAGATGAAAGTGGAACGCATATGTTTACATAAATACAGGTGATGAGAAAAGAAAAGTCAGCAAAAGAAAGGTACATGACACGAGCAATATATAGTCTTATGTGTTCGTACAAATCGTAATAATTCTGTTAATTGAAAAAAAATAATTTTATCAAATTTGTTTTTGTTTTAAATAAAAGCTGTAGAAAGATATTCGAAAAACAAAATGAAAGAGTGATAAGATAAAAGAGAGAAAGAAAAAATACGAATATAATCATATGATAACAAAGGGAAGAAAAAATGATCTTGTTGCACAACTTGTTATGAAAATGAGGTGCATATCATGACAAAATTAAAGATAGATAATTATAGACCAAGATAAATATTTCTCCATAAAATAAAGATTGAATACTTAAAGTTAATGAATTAACATCTAATAGAGCAATATTAGCACCACTTGTTTCATTAAGTACAACACCAATTTAAGCGAAACCAAGAACTGTTTGCTAAAGTACGAGAACCAAATTTTATACATACAGGGTGTGGATGCGGATGTGAGCGTGTAGATGCGTGGATTAGGGTACACAAGATTCTCACTTCAACCAACGCTCACACCCACCACACACCCTCAATTGTTTCAGCTTAACTTTGGTGTTCAGCACTATTGTAGTTGAAGATATTAGCATCACCCACTTCATTGTGTATAGAGAGAAAACATCGGTCACGACTCTTTAGTGGTACTATGCACTTCAACGCCGCAACGTTGAGATGAAGATCGGTTAAGTAGGCAAAAGCACTGGTGTACAGTTACACTTTTTCAATTAGATTTTGGTTTGATAAAGACTTTAATAAAACCTTACGAACATCAATGATTACAGTTAGTTTTGCAGATATGTTTTTATTGAGATAAAACTTTGTTTTTTAACATTTTGGCCATTCTTGCATCAAAATGCTAGTTCAATTTTTTTTTCATTTATTTTCGAAGTGATATTAAGCTCTTAGTGCCAAATTTATATTGGAGCTCGAATCAGACAACTCACACTTGATTAAGATAATAAGCACACTATTAATACAAGCACACTAGTGTATTTTCATCAAGTGTGTTTGTATAGCATCTTCACGATAGATGTCAAATGCTATTAACACATTATAGAAATACACATCGACTGTAAAATAGACATTCATAAACAGTATAAAACATGTCAGATAACAAGTATGAATTCGTTTTAAAACATAGCTTGAAGACGTTGTTTTGCAATACTGAAAGATTTTTTGAATCTGGTTAAACATGCAATGCGAAATGTTTTTGAAGCTAATGTATATAAGATAAATGTAATCTAGAAAGAAATGACAAACCTATATAAAATTTCTTTTTAGAAAAGCAAGAAATTATACCGCTGTGTATGTGAAAAGTAGATTATTGCCAATACCATTGAGAAAAATCGCTAGACTTCTTTCATCAGCCGTAAGACCACCACGAGAATTCATTAAAAATGAATATAGTGGAAAAATCGCACGAATAGTATTGAGTATTACGAAAACAATCACTTGAGGTATGGACAATCGAACAAGTTGACCCTCACGTCTAGATTGCCGAAGACGCTGAGCAGTAAAAGCCGTTGAAACCACTACAGGGTTGCTGCTTGAACCAGTTGTAAGTGGTTGAGGCTGAACTCTTCCATTCAGTCGTAGTCGTAGATTGCGTACAGCTAGTATAGTAAATATACTCATGATGAACATAGGTACTAGTGAAATGATAATGTTATACATTGAATAGAAGAGTTCATAGGTAGTACCTAATGGTGGTGAGCAACCCAAACGACCGATTCCATATTTGATAGGTACATGAATATGAAATAGAAACCAAAAGATAAAACTGCCAGCAATCATCCGTCGAGTTATACGGGGTGAACTATGATTACGAATCCATAAACGTGATGAAGTAATCAGCCATCGGTCAATTGCAATTAAACAGAGAAAGTGTCGTGCTAACGTTAGACTTACGTCGGTTGCGTAAGCACGAAACTTGCAAAAAGCAAGAGATTGACTTGATAAATCGTAGCCAGTGGAAGCAGCTATGATGCGTGGTAGACAAGCGACAGCAAGCACGCATAAATGAGCCAAAGATAAACAAATAAAATACCATGAGCACATATTTTTTCGTAGTGTACTTGTTCCAAATGTAATTATATTAGTTAAATTACCGATAATTCCAAGTCCGAAAATGATTGGAAGTTCGTAGCAATAAAGCTGCAATTGCAATTTTTCAAGTTGACTTGCAATCGATGACATCTCTTCTCGTTTATGGTGTTATGTGAACTTTCACTCTTATCTCTCTTCAAAGAAGATTATATCTATTACATATTATGTTGAGACAACTTATATATTAAGATCAGTAATCTATTTTTTTACTCAATGCAAATGACAAGAAAAAGTAGGTTCCAAAAGATTAGTTAATTGAATAAATAATGAGAAGTATATGCAAAATACAGTGAGAAATGCTTTTTTGACTGTTTGTTATCAGTCAAAATAGTTTTCACTTTGTCTGTTCTTGTCAAAGCTGTTTTTTCTATCAGAGGTATATATTATAATTGAGATCGAAGAATTGTTGCTCGGCAATATTTTAGAAAACTTGTCAACTAACCGAAAATATAGTTGTAAATGGATCGATGTTCAATTCAGTTTTTCATTGTATTTTAATGAACTTTTCACAGAAAGAAACAAATGAGAAAACCTTGATTGGATTCAACTCATAGCAACCAACCAGACTTCATTATTTTCATACACAAAATGTATTTCGCTCTCCCAAAATACTTTGCTTAGATTCATATGTGTGTCATAATAAAACTATTATTTTGGATAGAAATATAAATCTCTTGACGTTAGTTACAGTATGAATTATAAAAAGGATATAATTCGAATGAATTTTTGTTGTGTCCGATAGTTCATCATATGTGATTCGAACTTGAATAGAAAATGCGGTGAATTAATATGGATAAAAGATCCTAAACATGATATGGTTCATATTAACCGTTATCCAAACAATTATCGAAGGGCATCTTTATATTCTACTCATTCGTAGAAATCAAAGTCCGTGCAACTGAAGACAATTGAAAGAAAAGTAAAACAGAATTTTCAAAAGTCAAAAAAAATAATCATAATATTCTCAACAATCTTCTCGTTTGCATAGGTTATTTATTTTTAAAATAAAAAGAAGTACAATAACTTCTTTTAAATTAAAAATAGATAATTATATAAGCAAAAGATTTGTAACTTATATAGTAAGTTGTGAGTAAATGCAAGAAAACTCATTAAAGTATATTTTGTAGCTAACATATAAGATGATTCATTGAAAATGCATAACATTGGATTTCTGGTTTTTTGTAGAAATTTGTATAGCTGTCTTTTCTATGAGTGATCAGCAGTAGTTGATGATAAAAAATTGAAAGAGTAAGAGTCTGTAATGTCATTACTTCGATTTCATTATACTTTTTCATTAGGACTGTCAAATTTCCATTAGTGTTAAAAGATGCTAATGCTTAAAAGCATTAGTATTAACTATACGCCTAATACTTCGATATCATTTTTCATTAGAATGAATTCATGGCCAAATGTATAATTCAACCAGTGCATCTTCTTTACGGTGACTGACCTGTAGAAATCTACGTGACTCAGTGCGCGTAAGTCATTCTGGCCCAAAGATGAAATAATTCAACCAGAAAAACAGAAATATCATCAACTTTTTCTCTAGAATTTAGTTATTGATAGATTGGTTATTGTTCTAGTATTTCGAATTACTACTTTGATTTTTTATTTTTGGAATAATTTTTCGATCAATATTTTCTTGATAATGAATCCTTATAAAAGACTTGATCAAAAATCAAAAATTGCTTGCACTGTGAAACTACTATGAAATGAAATTGTCGTTGTATTAAACAGTTATTTTGATGTCAATTTGTTAAGATCTTGTTTTGTTTGTGGATAAACATTTTAAAAATGTCAAAACTCACTATAGTGTCTTCAACAAAGAATAGAGAACTCAGCTTAACGTGTGCATCATATTATAAAAGCATCGCTCTGCAACAATTTGCACTCAAAATAGACTTTGTATCTCCTAGTCTCATTGTAACGTAGAGAAGTGTAAACATTGCTTCTATCATACTAACAAACATATTATCTTTTCAAAAATTTCAGATTTTTCTGATTGCTTAATGTAATTATTAGATATAGTGGTACAATACTTCGTATTCATACCATAGATGGAGAAAAAGCATTCATCCACAGTCAATGTGATTCATTTTTGCGTTCTGCTGTTCCTGCATGTTTAATCATTAGAAGAACTAAAGATATGATTCACTACTATTATTTATTCTACTGGGTGATCCTTAAATAACTTGACAAGAAGATAGTTAAATATCTCCTCTAGATTTCGACTAAATGATCAAAAATTTTTATTATTGATAAAGGTATGTTCAAAGTAGGTTTTTCATCAAGCAAAATATCAATAAATACCGTTTTGAACTAGTAACATTTACAATAATAAAGGTCTGATTGTAAAATACATATTTTGACTAGAATATCTAATTACTATCAAGAATGTATGATACAAATAAATGGACCACGATCTTCTCAGTCGATAGACAATTAACTATGTAATGAATAACTTTAAGCATTAATACTCGAACTCCAATAAATTCATATTGACATTGGTCATTACGTCGTCTACTGCTTTTATCTTATTTGTCTATAAAGTGAATAAAAAATAAAATATATTGCGACAGATTCACGAAATTTTAATATTTCTTATGATAAAAGTATCATGGTAGTCTTGAACTTTGTTTCTTCATCTCTTCCATGTATTATAGGCAAAGTATCAACTACATATCATATTCCGTAAAAACCTCTGCAGATGACTTTTTGCAATTTATTTTCTATGTAACATATACACTGTTCTATGTTCTTAATTAAGCCATTACTTAGTCCATTCTCCCACGAAGTCAATAGCTGATTCTGACTGATTACAAGGGTATGTGCACAGAGAAAAACAAAATTATGGAAATGCAAACTCCTAAGTAACACATAATTATCAAGAATCTTAATGTCTCTGACTCTTCGTTTCTCATCACAATCGACCATATTGAATTGTATTAAGACTCATATAAAGTTATGAACTTCCCTAACTATTCAATATTCTTGATCTGAAAAATAGGTCTATTTCTTAAAGCAAAGATGATGTATATTGGATCAAACTTCAAATAAATTACTCCAGCTCAACTGTCCGATTGAGCAAGTTGAAAATAACGCGTCAGAAATCTGTAGATTTCGACCGAGTGATATTAAACTGGGAAGGTTACATGATTTCGCTTAATAATTGAAAGCAACTAGAAAAGACAGGCAAAACAAAAATTCCAATTCTTGTTGGCGATGGCAGCTCGCATAAAATCATTAATAAGGCAAAAAATAAAGCACTGAATACTATGATCATTGTAAAGGATATTCCTTTTCGTGCTTCTTCTCAAGATTTATTTGGAAAGCTGGAATGATGAAAAGGACACTGTCAACAATGAAACAGATTAGTTCAAATTCAGGCATTCAAACAGCTATTCAATAGTAATAGAAACAATACCATAAGAAAATAAGAATGAATAAAGAATAATCATTGAAATAGAACATATCGACTAGTATAAGATGCCTGTTCACTTTTTTATACTTCTTTAGTATAAATCGGTAAGTGTCTTTGATTTAAAACAAAACGAATTCATATATGAGTGTACTTCTTTTTACAGATATTTTTCTAACGACGTAACTGATACCTTTTTTTCGTAATATGAAATATTAATCATCAAAGACATTTGAAATGAACCTTAAAATACCATCGAAAGTAATCTTTTAGAATTTGATATTTTATACTTATTTATAAATGAATTTCGAAATATCTTTGCTTGCAAATAAATGACTATGGAGAAGAAGACCATAAAAAAAATATTCGGCTTATTATTTAAACTAGACAAAAGTTTTTATAAAGAATATTGTACACCAAATAATGATCCAAATTTGACATTTGTAAGGACAATGGCTAAGCTAGCAGAATATATAAAACAATACGCCATTTCTAATAAGCTTCTTATGATTTGCGACTTCATGATAAATACGTATTTATGTGCATCATTTAGAAATTTTAAACAGAAATTACGTAAAATTCAATAAAATTGAATTGAAGATAACTTGAAAGATAAAGAATTAAGCAGTTAAGGTGACCATGGTAAGAAATATCTGCTCGTTAAGCATCATCTTAAATTATTTTAACACACTATTGATATTTAACTGATTCACATTCTCTTCATTTCCTATTTAATAAAACTTTTAAAAACAAACTAACAAGGAAATTCGTGGGACTGATAAGTCGCTTTGAAGTCCAGACTATGTATATTATATATACTCGAATGACCTAATCGATGTAAAAGAAGTGATGAAGTATAATATGTAGAATTTGAATCCTCACATCCAGATGTAACAGATGTTGTTGATACACGATCATAAATCTTATATCAATACAACTTGCCCATGCAATGCGAAACTTCGCTGATTAAGTTTTAGAAGTTTTTTTCCGAGTTAAACAGATTTGAATGCACTACGAGTAGCGGTTTTTCATGCCCATTGCGAGCTTGACATGTGTTGCTTAAAAAAAGCTGTATTCTGATATCGAAAACCGCATTGTAAATTTTTTAAAAATTGTATTTGAATTTCCTAACCCAGAAATTTTTCTCAAAAATTACTGAATGACGTACTATACGATATATAGAAAACTGTAACGGCGTTACGTTTGCTTTTTTTGCGTTAGGCATCTGAGTCAAAATAGTTTACAGAAAATCTTTTACTGCTCAAAAGCCACCAGGTCTGGTATAGTGACGACCAGAAACAATGGTATACAATTCACAGACGGCCTTAAGCAAGCCGTCATAACGCCGTTCTTCTGAAGTACATGGCATCTTGCATTAACATTTACTGTCGAAATTAAAGTGTTAACAGCCATATACGGCTGTACTCCATCTAAAAATAACAAAACAAACTCTTTATCGGTTCTTCTTCACTCAATAAATATGTTTAAATAACACTTCTCAAATCTTATTTTGACAGAACTATTTTATCTTATTGCATTTTAGCATCAAACTTACAAAATATTTAAAGATTTAACATCGGGATGTTTTCATAACAATACAAGGAAAATCTAACAAAATAGCTGCAAAAAGTACATTTTACAAAACTCATTACATATGGTTCCTGATAAGACCATTCAAGAGAATACCTCGAAAAACCTCTATATATAATTTTCTGTGGCAAAAGGAAGTCAGCAGCAATCAAGCGAACGGGAAAAGTGTCAAATAAATACCTTTAGATTTTTACACCTGAATAGGCGGATAATAATACCTATCGTATTTTTCGTATGCCGAAGTCTACGATCTACTGCATTAATCTTTCTTAATATAGAAAGTCCTTTTTATAAAGATGTAAACGTGTCCATGTGATGGTGAGAATCGCGCCAAAATTGACGATTTTATCGCGACATAATCGTCTAAATAAGCGATTTTTGCTGTTATTTTTCGATTTTTATCAAAGATCGCAATTAATCTACGGTTGTTTAACCAACATACATGAATCATTCTAGAGTTCTTTTAACTTTTTTGTCAATTAATACTGCTTTTGTATATGAGATACATTCTGTCAGTTTATTCAGAGAATTATTTCAGGCAAGGGGTATGGATCGGGTGTGTATGTAATTTTTCTGCTTGATTCAACCCACATCTTTTTACGCCAAAAAAATTTGATCTTTGAAAAACATACAGTGATTGCAAGGTGAAATGTGAGATATTTTTTAATACAAATGTTTCTATCTACATAACTATTCATGAAACCAGGCTTGCTTCATCATTAAATTTTAGTCATAAGAGTTATTTTTCAAGCTCTAACAATTGATACTATCGAGAGCAAAGCAAAAATTGTGCAATAATTTCCAAACTCCGACATATGAACAAAGATATTTTTTCTCACTAAATATTCCTGCGTTATAAAGTTTTAGAGCATGTTTAGTAAACTTCTACGTACAAAAAAATCTTTCAAGGGTGAGGGTATGATATTCGTGTCATTCTCAAGAAGAGTCTCTATTGACTACGTTTCAAGTCATTCAATGGCAGAATCAAATATTTTGTTTAAATACTTGTTATTCAGGTGACCGTTCAATTCGTCTCACGACACTTCGTCGCACGATCACTTCGGCGCGAGACAATTCGTCGCAATGAAAATTTGTACGCTCAGTTCGTTCTATAGAATGGAGAGAGAGTACATTAATTGAGTTAAATGATTTACTTTTGTACGTTATTTAATTAATCATCTTAATGTTTTATAGTAAAACTCTTTCTTGACAACACGATTCTTTTTTAAAAAATAATATAGAGGTGTGGATTTAGAGTTTATTTATTGTAAATTTAAATTAGCCATAATTAATGTTTAATTCTAAATAAAATTTTACAAAGATAAGTTACAAATAAATTTAGCGGTCAATTACAATATAATTTAAACATAACCTTGCATTTAAAACAAGAGTGTTTTTCATTAAATTTGTAAAAACTTCTCGATAGAATAAATTTTTTTAACCATAAATTCGCCATCTCTAAAAAAATGATATTCAATGAATGAATGCTAGAATATTATAAAACCTATGTAATTAATATTTTTTTAATTCTGTGACATCGAAAACCTGAAATCCATATCGAAGATTTCAAAATCACTTTATTCACTGATCGGATAGCGTTGCGAATCACAGATAAGTGTTTCAGAAACTGCTGAGCGCATCATACAGATTAAGAAAGAGCGCATATTCATTTCATTTCTTCTTGTTTTTCTTTGCTCCGGATTTCCTAAGAAGTCGTGTCCTTAAAGGACTTAAGTTGAATCTCATTTAATAGCAGAGTATTTGCATTGTAACAGAAGAACTTTATTTTTACAGAACTAAATTAATTCTTTCTCAAAAATGCATCTTCTATTCATTATGTAGATCTTATTATTCCATAGTAGTGTACATTGACGTGATTAATTAAATAACATACGAAAATAAATCACTTAATTCTATTAATGTACTCTCTCCATAATATAGAACGAACTGATCGCACGAATTTTCATTGCGACGAAATTGTCTCCCGACGAAGTGTCGTGTGACGAATTATACTAGTACCGTTATTTATGGTATATGTGGCGTTTTGATTTGAAATTTTTGAAAGGATTGTCTATTTTTTTTTTTCGTTGTGTAACAGACATTTTTTTCTGTATTCATAGTATATTCTGATTTCTTAATAAAAGTTTTCATGTAGTGTTTAATTATGTCATTAATAAAATAAAGAACCCTATAATGTTCCACATTTCAAGCGTATAATAAACACAGTGATAGATCTTAAGTACCAAATTTGAATCTATTTATCTATTCAACCGTAAACAAATACGAGATATGTCCTTTTGATCTCTACTCATGAAACATGTCGATGGTACATGATTTTGTATCCATTGATTAAGTTCGTCCTTGTGTTTTTCATCGTTATATCGAACTATCAATGATCGTAAATTTAACATTTTGTTAATAAATTCAATAATATTTATTCGATTTTCTACATTAATTAAAAGAATTTTACAGTGTTGTCCAAGTTAAGAAATTGGATAAAGTTTCACATTCAATACTATTAAAATACCGAATATGATAAATAAAATTGCCTATTAAATCAATTTGTTGAATCGATTTAGTATTTATTCGCAATATTTGCATCGGTAAATCATTAAAATATTTCAATATTAAAGAATACAGATGAGGAGCTTGATTAATAAATATTTCGAATAATAAATAAGAAAAATCATTACGTATGACAGCATCTAATGAATGTAATCGATCGAAGTTTAGAAGAGCTGACGAAATATTTTCGTTCAACGAACAATGTAAATCAAGATGATGAATATTGAAAAATCGAACAGGATATTGATAAAAATTATTTTCTTTAGATGACTGTACAACTAGTAATCATTATTATTCAAACAGGTAGATTTCGATTGATAATTATTTGAAAAAATAAATTCATCAAAGGCATAAGATAAAATATAAACAGTAGCATTTATTGAATACCAATCACATCGAACAAACCATTGATGTATATTAATCCAAAATGGATTTCGAAATGAATCAAGTAGTACATCAATTTCTTTTTCTTGATTAAATTCAAAATTTATTTTTAATTGAAAATCTTTTATATTAGTTAAATGATTAATAAAAGTTTTTTTTCTCATTCATATTCATTCAAACAAATAATGAGATAATTGTAGTGTTAAAGAAACTAAATAAGGTAATTTTTATAAAAGATTTTCAATTGAATATTTTGAATCTTCAAAAATTAATTTCAATGAAATAATTGATGAACATATAATATGAAGTTGTTCATTTTTAAAATTGCATTCAATATTTTGATAAAGTTTTTTAAGATGAGGTTTATGTTTAAATAAATGTGATAAATCATTTAAATCACAATAAATATTTTTTATAAATAAATATTCAATTGTTAATGATATCAGTGTCATTCGAGAAAAATTTGTTCGACCTATCGAAAAACAATCAATATTATAATATATTAATTTTGATAAACTTGAAATATTATTCATTATGCATAAAAGATCATTTTTGTTTAAATAATAATCATATTAAATTAAATTAAGATAAGTAAAATGAGAAAGATGGTGACAATCGAATATCAATTGATGTAAAAGATTGAATAATTAATTAGAATAAAGTGTAAGTGATTGTAAATGACCGAATTGACTGAGAGTAAAACTTTGAGTAAGAAATAGTAGAGATAGAGTAGGTGTTTCATCATGATCAGATAAATATAATGAATGAATTTTATCGAAAATTAATGGAAGATGTTTTTGACAAATGATATCAAAATCGTTTTTAAGTACAGATTAAAAGTTTGGAGAATAAAATTCAAAATATGTGAAAACAAGTTTATTAAATCGAATGTTAAGACCATGAAAAGCATGAAGTAATTGAATTAAATCTAATAATTCGAATATATCAATTAATAATTCATTAGGTAAACATTCTAAACTAATATTGATTGTAATATAAGCTAGATTGATTATATTTTTGACATAGAATTATTATGTGAGATAATGAATAACATCATATTAGAATTCAATTCATAAGTCTACAATAAATCCAAGTAAAACATTACCATGAGTTGCCGATAAAATATAGATAAAAAGGAATAGTAATAGATCAAAATATGTTATACAGAACATGCAATTCCAGATATAATTAAAAGAAAGACAATTTTGTTAGATTTTTTAGACAGTCAAGGGTTACATTTCGTTACAAATGAGATAATATATCATGAAAAATTCTTCGAGATTAATATTTTTTCTTACAGTTTCTTTATTGTTCAAAGCAACCAAAAGAAAAAAAAACAGATTATTCATATTTGACTTGTTAATTCATCAGTGTTCTAATACAGAAATTGTATAGAAAAATGAATCATTTTTCCTAGACATTTACATTCAATAATCTATCAATTCACGATTTGCTTTAATCTGCTCGATGGCTCATACATCAGACCCGCTTTCAAAAACGGATCATTCTTTTGTATAACTCAACGAATCATCTTTCATATTGGCATAACACTAGATTATCGAAAAAAATTTAGTTCACACCTATTTTATTTTGATCACGTCATCTTATAAGTTTCGTTCTATTGATAAAAAACGACTGTTCATAGACGCTAATCATAAAATAAATATCCATGTAATTCCAACGGGTGGAAAAACCACTAGTAAAACATCAGTAGATTGTTCGGTATAATGTGCTCCATACCAATGATATTTGTCGATAGTGACAAAAAACCGTATACTAGTAGTACGAATAAACGTGCAATATTGTTACTAGCAAACATAATTTAGAAGTAGAAACCATAAGAAAACAATATTGATAGAATAAAACTTTTTCTAAACGTCGTTATTAATTCATTCACCTTCTCCCTCAAAGAAAAAAAAAGTCAATTTTCATCAAAAATATGAAAATTGAAATAAATCAATGAAAGAAAAGCCCAGTCTCTAGCCTTTCATAAGTGATATGGTTCTTTTTTATTGACATCTTGTTGTTTCCTCATATGTCAATCATTTTCTGCTCGAAATATATGTTTTGTTTTTTAAATAAAGTAGAAAATATACTTTCTTCTTTTTCTCTGCTGGTGTGCTTTTGCTCATGCATCCAAGAACTCATGAAGGAGCTTCATTGTAGCTCATGACTTCTTTTTGCTTGGAAGAGCATATCAAAATGCAGTATATGCTGTAATTTATTTTTTGAATTGAGCTTTATCACTGTTACATAAATGCGTAGATTTATAATTACAGTGCCATATTTGGAGAGACTCTTGAAATATTAAAGCTTTACTTTCTTTTGTTAAAAAGAAATAATTAAAAAAAACAAGATCTATGTCATGTTTTGCATTCTTACATGTTCTTTCAAACAAAAAAAATTAAGTATACATAATGAAGGTCAAGAGAGAATTTCAGGTTGCCAAATCAGTTATTTTTATCGCTCATTGATTGAATATCTCTCGGATACATTATGGTAGAATGCTGAAAATTTCAGGCGGTTTGAATATACCTGTTCCGTGATCGATTTTTGAGGAATGAAGAGAAGGCTTTAAATAATCACAAATAAAGATTATAAAATCAGTCTTCCTTCTTTGAAGCAATTTTACTGGTTCATATGTTTCTATACCGATTAAAACTTAGTTTCACAGTACATGTCCTAACATCTAGATTTATTCTAAGTTAAGGTTTCAGCTTTGTATATACAATTAATACAAAGATACAGGAAATGTGAAAATTTCAAGAAAAAATTCTATTGTTTTTGGAACGATAAGAATAGAAAACAATAAAATCGCTTCATTACTCAATTACTATGAGTGAGCTTTAATTATTATCTACGTCATTATAAATACAAAATATATTGCTGGATCTATGTTTGTCTTATGATAGTCACGCACAGAGAAAAAAAGAGAACATACTAAGGAATTATTTGAAAAATAAAATTCCTTCCATAGTGATCGAGTACATCAATCGAAAATTGCTGTTTTTTTACTTTATGAAACTAACTGATTGAAAATTATGAGTTTTAATAAATAATCTATATACATAGCATTTTAAACATATCAAAAGAAACAAGAAGCTTCTATCTTTTGCTGCACATAATCGGTCAAGATGGAAAGTAGACATACAGAACATCGATGTATAATATATTTTTATTTTACAGAAATTTAATTTGTCGATTATCCTTCAAGCAGTATCTTTTATAAAACATTTGTGATTTTGATTTAACTTGTATTTCAGCTAAAATATTCGTAGAAAATCAAAATACTTGTGCACACTAGATGTAGCTCAGTGGTGAAGCCGAAAGAAGGACACAACCTCTGGAGACTCAGCTCATCCTAAGGACATTTGAGCTTCTAGTAAGAATTCTGAAAAATGCGTTTTTTTCTTTTAAAAAATTTTGCTCGATGGATCAAAAGTCCGTAGGTGGCGGGATCTGAGCTGCTCCTAACGTAAATATGAATCTTTCTCAGCATGATAATATATACAAAAACAACACATCCATGTGATGATAATCAATGGAACACTGACGATTATGTGCAGTCTAACAATTCGGTTAGCCAGTTCTTCTGTTTGAATTGTTTTTACATTTCACTGCATGAATATATTTGTAAGTCAGAGAAACATGTTTGATATCAGTACAAATCATGCATTCTCATAACTACGAGAGCGTTCAAGTGATTCGTGCCAGTTACATTAACTATTTTGGTTTAGTTTTCAAGTTTGATTATTGAGTAAAGACGGTGCTACAAAAATATTTTTTAGTCTGAAGACTTAATAGAAAAAAAAAAAGTATATCTCCATTTGATATAATACACCGTGGCATATTAAAACCGCTGTCTTCGAGAAAACATCAAATTACGTGAAAAATTAATGAAAACTTGGAAGAATCAATCGCTTGAACTAGCGGTCTCATATAAATTATGATTAACCGTTGACTTTGAGAAAAAATTGACGAAATGAAAGACTCGAAGAAAACAAAATTTATTTTACACTATATACATTCTTATTTAAAAAAAAAACAGTCAATAATAACGTAATTGACTTTAAATAAACTGTCAATAATAATATACTCTTAAGAAATGGCTGATGTTGCTCTTTGATCTGGTTTTGTTATTGTTATTTTAAAAATATCAACATTACTTAATGGTTGAATTTGACGATTTCTTAAAAGCATTTCTTTAACATTCTTGCGAAAAGTAGAAGAAGCAAATAAATAAACATAAAATGTTATTGCATGTGTACTAAAACCAATAAGTACACAAATAGTATTAATTAAATTTTCTTGTGCAAGACGTAAAGAACTTTTTCTTGTTGATTGACTTGATACAGAATAAATTTGCCAAATCATATTAGGAAATGAAGTTATAAGTATACCAACACTTTGTGCAATTAACATTCGAGTTACTTGATCATATAATCGAACACCACCTCTTAAATATGTTGCCGGTTGTTGTCCTAAATTATGCCATGTTAACATACAAAAAATTGAAAGAACACTTAAAGGTAAAATACTATAATGAAATAAATTAAAATATGATACTAAATAAGCAAATATTGGATCAGCAATTGTACAAGATAATGAAGTTGGGGCTGTATAAAAAACAGCATAAGATGAAAAAATACCTGACCATAAACAAATTGATATAAATATAACCCAACGTGCTCGTTTAATTGTAATCAATCCATGACGACGTACATCATGACAAGAGAAAAAATATCGATCAATTGCTGCAAGACATATACAAGTCAAAGAAACTGCACCAGCTGTTGTTCTTATCATCCAACGAGCTTTACAAAGACCTACAGATGCATAAACCGGATCTATACGTGTAAAACCACGAATAACTCGTGTAAGAAGTCCAGTTATTAGTACACATTGACTACCAATAAAAGAAGTAAGTAAAAATAATGAACTTGCTAAAGTTTTTAAACTTTCAAGACGAGCAAATGATATAACATTAATTATATTTCCAATAGTTCCCAGTAATAAAATTGCTAAACCAATATAAGCAAAAAAATATTCGGCTAGATCAAGCAATTGTGTAGTTTCATATTGATTTGTTACAATGGAACTCATGTTTATGTTCTTAAAAAAATATTATCTCTGAAATATTCAATTAACTATAAAAACAATTTATCGAAAAAAAAAAAAAAAGAAAAAGATAATTGGAAAAGAACTGATCTCATCTCAGATGAGCGAATTTCAGACATACTTTTTCATACTTTCTTATTTCAAAGTTGTTGACACTATACGTCTCATGATAAAACGACAAGCAAAATTGTGTACTAAAATATGTAAATATAATTTTCTTATTGTAAAACTCAACAGTTATGCACAACTATGAGACACAAATGTCAATATTGTCTAAAGAAAATTCCTACGAATAATGTATTCTTATATTGTATAACTATAAAAATAAGTTTTAGCATCAAACCATAGGCATAGACTTTTTTCTATGATAAACTACTATTAAAATAATTTTAATGTAAGTCTATAAATCAAACATTATACTACACAGCATACATGACTTATTCATGGAAGAAAAAAGAAAATGAAAAACTTGTACTACCTACATAGAAAAGCCGTTTGAAGAAAATTATCTACTCCAAACTGCTAAATTATATATTTAAAAACAAGCAACTACTTGTATTACTAATATCATTACATGTGCTCTTATTTAAATAAGAACTCAACTTAGGATAGAATAAGAAAGAAATTACGTTGGAAAAAATAGTTACTTTGATGAAACATCTATTATTATAAAACATGAGAATTAAAAAGAAATAACTTCTAGAATACTTGATTTTATAACTCGACTGTAAAATAGAATATGATGCTGCTTAATTTTCTTTCATTTTTCTCTTTCTTTTTTTTTTACACAAGAAAAGTTAAACTAAAAACGTGATCTAATATGCCAAACAACCTTCTACATAAAGCTATATTGAATTTAAATAAGTGAATCTTATCTTGAAAGATAGCTTATGTCAGATATAAAGAAGAATAGAGCCAAGATAAATCATAATTCAAATTGCTGCTTCATGTTTCTAATCAAGATTTTTCTACATTTTTAGTAAGCCTTTATTGAAAGTAATTAATGTCACAAAGAATATCTTCCGGCAAAAAGGAAAAAGAAACTATTCTACGAATTGTTGTCAGTTACTCTTTTCTTCATAGTGCTTATTTGAGTTGATATAAACTTCCTGATATATTTATAAACAAGAATGATTTTCATTTCCGTAATCAAAAACCGATCATGAAACATTTTATATAGAAAAAAATAATTATAAATAATTAAAATATTTATTCGAATCTTTTTCCTATATAAATTGTTTTTATCTCACATTGATGTACTTATTAATTAAAGAAGGAGACAATCTATACAGATGTTAATGAATAATCACAGTTTTTGTATTATTTTAAAAATAAAGATCGTCTCTTCTTCAAATCAATCCTATCTTACAATAATTTTCACACTTTATTCTTTTTTTAGAAAATGATATTGAACACTATTATCGAAATACAATAAAACTAAAGATATATAAACGTTTCTTCACATTAAAAAGATATCAGTTCACAAATGAAATCTATCAATACTAAGATGTTAAGCATGATGTAGCTACTCTTGCTAATCGCAGAAATATTTTTTTGTTCTATCGTTTTCAGGAGACATTTCTTCATCATTCTTTTACTTAAGCCTACATAATTGGAATAACAAAGTAGTTCATATATTAAAACGAGACATTTTCTGACATATCTTCTTTGATCATATGTCAACGTCTGTGACGGGAGGTGAGAACTTATGTTCCTAAAATGTCTATCACGATGTATTACTCAAATGAAACCTATGGCTGATTTTTTTCATATGAAAAACTTATGATAGAAATTTTTGCGTTAGTATGCTAAACGATCAAGTTATTACTCTCATGATTAAACTAACACGTAGAACGTCTGTTTTGCTGATGATTTTCATAAACTAAGATATTCAAATCTAAAGATATTTTTAACATATATAATACGAAATATTAAATTCTTTTCATTTTTTTCCTAATAGATCGATAGTTAGATCTCATATTTAGACTACATACACTATATGATAATACTCAAAAAAAACATCCTATCATCAGTCTAATACGTTAAGGTTATATTGAAAAATACTTGAACATTTCTCGTATATTTCTGTATTATGGTCAACGGAAGTCTGCTTGTTTTTTCTGATCGAAGTCAATTGATTACTTTTCGTTATACTCTATCTTTGAGTAATGTTCTATGCATAAAGAGTCTACAACCGCGTAAGAGTCAATAGAATTTAGATCATTCAGTATGTTTTTATGTAAACAGATAAAAAAAATAGAAACAAAATACGACAGGTGAACAATAAGCTTTTTCAATAATCATATTAAAATAGAAAAAAAAAATTCCAGTATTTTTTAATAAAACCTTAAGGAAAAAGCTTGATGCTGGGCTGTTTCTCGAAGAATTATCATATGATATATGTGATTCGAATATAAGATCTAACTATCGATATATTAAGAAAGATTTGAGAAGAATTCTGTGACCTCTATCCAATCAAAACTGAATAAATAAATATTTCAGAAATTTCGAGTTGTGTACATGTTACACACACTGAAAACACTTTAAAATTTAAACATCTTGGTTTATGCAAGCCATTAGTAACACATTTTATTTTTCTTAACTTGACGATGAGAGGTACTTTGACTGTACCATGATCAATATTCTTACATGTTAATACAAAAGATTCTATTTTTAGTTAATCTCTATGTTTGAGTTCTAAATCTTATGAATGCATTAAAAATCATAGATAATAAAATGAGAAATACTAAAGAAAAAAACATACTTTTGCTGATTATTATTTTATATCTACAAATTTGACAAACTTATTATGAATATTTATTATAGGATTTAATCTCTGTGAGAACAAAAACATGACGTGTCATGTAATCGCATTAATTTTATGAACTCTATAATCATTATTTTTTTCTCTGAAAGAAAAATATAAATATAAATAATAATAGTTAAATCAACATGATTATTATTTCATTCGGTTATATACTACGAAAGCACGTTCAGTTATAAATGATTTTCGAAAGGAACTGCAAAAAATTAAAAAAAAAAATCCATATGTATATGTATAAGATCATCTAGTATACCGTTGTGCTCAATAATGAGTCGAAAGCACTGATATGAACATTACAACAACCGACAAAAAAAAAAATTTACATTGTACTATCTCATTGATGAGCTAAAGTTTATAAAAATAATTATTCTACTCAAAGCTCAACCGAGCTAGTAGTTATGAAATTATTGTATATAATAAATTTTTTTCTCTTTTTAACTTATTTTTTTTTAGATTTATTTTTTCTGAATGTTTTAAAAATTAAAAAAAAAATAAAGAATTAGTAATTATACATTTTATTATGAATCTCTGTTATTAACAATCACAAAAATCCTGTACTCCAGGTGTTATAATTACAGATACTTATTTCTATCACAATGCATTAATCATGCACTAGTTATAGAATTTTAAAAAAATTAAACCGATGTTTTTAATACCATTTTAATGAAAATTTTTTTCATAGAAAAATGATGACAAACGTAAACGAAACTGACAAAAACATACATGTTTTTCAAAATTCTCTTTTGATGAATAAAACGTATGCTATTATCTAGCTTGTCTTCACACATTCCATTTTTCTAAAAATGGTACGTGTAATGACAAACATGCATCAAAGTTTTTAATTAATCATTTTTCATCATGTATGTTACGTTAAACCCATTCATGGATTGAATACTATTTTCAATTCGAACAACAAAAGAACAAATAGTAAATTTATTCACCCAAAGCGTCGTAAAATTTAGTGATTCGAATCACAGTGTGATATGAAATTAATGTGATAATTATGATTTTGCTTAAAAATTGTTAGTCATACAATAAAACTAATGCAAAAATAATATAATGTTTTTATTTTTCTCGGAATAAGAAAAAAAATCATTAGATGAGAATAATGTAAAACTAGTAAAATTAATGTATTTTTTTCAAGATAATCAAACCTATGGAATGAAAATGCTACAAAAACAATGAAACTAATGGAATGAGAATGATGCAAAAATAATGAGACTAATAGAAGAATTTTCATATTACAAGATAATGAAATTAATGGAATGAAAATGATGAAATGATTTTGAGTTTTTCAAATAAACAAATTCATGAAGTATTCTTTTTTTTTGTCTCATGAGTAGTTTACATTCACAATGTTGTACAAATATAAGAAGAACAACTCTTGTCTCAGGTTAAACAAAACCATGTCTAACAGAATTTCATGGGCCCGAAGCAAAAGGAAGATAGAAATATATAGAAGAACTAAATTTTATTCAAGCCTAGTAATTGAATCATGTATTCGTTTTTTATAACCAAATTTGAGTGAACGAGATCAATATTTTTCATACTGATCTAGAGCATAATAGTGGATGAGAATCATAGCTTTGACACTAACGTGAGTTGTACATTTCCTGGCGATCATACCTATTGTATGTTGTTGTAATATACTCACAAACAAAGAAGCAAGCTGAAAGATAACGACGCGCAGAGTTTCATAGAAGATCACTTGAGAATCAGCCTTATGTTTCAAAATAGAAATTAGTCCAATTGGTAAGATACGATCAACTTCTTCAGTGCGTATGGTTGTAACACATCAAGACAGAGAACCTGAATGATTTAACTTTCAATCATTGGATGACTATACCAAGGATAATAAAACTTCATAATTGATTCGTTGATCTGAATATTGTTCTTCTTTTTATTTGATAGTCAATAAAAGACGATCGAAAATATTTTATAGAAACGTAAACTTGTATATTTTTTTATTTTGACCAATGCACCATTGTTTATTCATCGGATTTTTTTCGAACTCTTCTCCTCAATAACTTTTTAACCTTCTAATGGTATGTAGTGTATGATTAAAATATTTTGATATAAATGCATTTGTTCCAAATTCATATAAATATCAATATAATCAATTTATTCAAAAAGCTGAAATTATCATCAGTTATATTATATT